AGGTTTGAGTTTTCTTCATTGGAGTAAATAGATGACTATGGCTGAAGCTGTCTTTCTAAGCACAAAGCACACATACACAAGATTTATAAGGCATGAACTCAAGGAAAAAGACAGCCTTTGATCTTTCTAGATAACAGCTTTCATTTAGAGTTATAAAAAAAAATCTAGTCTGATCTTTACTCAGTATTCATTTACTAATTAATTATTACTAATTATAGCATATTTCAAATGTTTTTAATAGGTTTTTATGTATCACAGGTATCCTGTAGAGCTATTTTCTTCTCATTTGCTCTTTTCTTAATTTTGCTAGTAAATCCAAGAGAAACTGGAGGATCTAAAAAACACAGGTAGAATTTTACAGCAGGAAGCACTTGTACTGAAATTTAACCCCCTTATAGATTCTAGGAGTCTTTCTGTTTGCTGTAAAAAAAAAAAACTAACCAAAAATCCTGTGAAAGAATTGAATGACAACAGAAGCCTGAAGACATACATGGCACTCTTGGAAGACCATTAACTTGGCAGCTTCACTTTCTTTTCTGAAAGTCAATGAAATTCCCAAATTCTAAACTAATGCAAAACTTTACCTTTCTTATAAATTGATTCTGCCCCTCTATGCTTCTTTGCTTTTTCCCTCTTCATCGCTCATCTCAGTTATGTCTTTTTCGGTTCCTTTGGATTCCACCTCTTCAGAGATGGGGTGATTTTATTGCTACAGCTTCACAGCTTAGCACAGCTGGGCCCTGATTTAGACTGGGCACTTCAGCTACCACAGCAAGATAACATCATTCTAGAAATATGCCTTTTTTCCTCAACAGTCTTTCCAAATGGGACTATCAACTGGTATATAAAGAAATGTAGTCGTGTACATGTTAATACCCATTCTGTCACATACAAAACACACCAAAACTAACTACAGGTCTGGTATGCCAGTAACACTGGTTCATCCATCTGAATTTCCTTCCTCCCATTCCCTGAATATTTACAATGTGATCCATCATTTTTCACATTGAGAACCCTTCATATCTCGTTATGTTATGTACCAATTAACGCAATGTCTGGAGATGAAATCTGAGATGATAAAATATTGAATGCACAAGCAGGTGCCTTTCTAATAAAGTACCAAGCTTTTTGTAATGGAAACTTATTTTTAGAAAGTTAATGAAGAGATTAGTCTTCCAGACCAGAGGCAGTAGGGAAATTAGCAGTTGTTTAATCATGCAGATCAGTAAGATGCTCAGTGTTAAGTGTAAGACTAGTCACTGACCCTTTCTGGGGAGTGAATGGATTATTATGTTCAACATTTCAATTTAACCCAATACCACAAGTGCATAGTAATTGTGATTTTATTATACAGTCACATAAGTAATGCAATATTTTTGGTGATCTTTAACCTTTAGAACATCACACTGAAAACCATCTAATACAATAGGAAGGTACTATGCACCGTGTAATTTTTGCTGACATTAAATTGGTAAGAAACACTGAGAAATTTCAACAGCTTTAAAGAAAAATTCAATACTAGAAATGAAAATTGTCTAGTTATAACACATCACATGTCAATAAATATATGGATCATTGCTTACGAAAGGAATCTGTAATCTCAAAGAGAAAGTAAGAACACTGTAATAACAAAGTCTGACTTAATATAAACATTATTTTGCCATTATACTAAATTAGCATATAATGTATGTAGGATATTTTAAAATTTAACAATGCAAACACAAAACTGGTAATGAATCAACCTCATGTATTTCATTACTTTCTTTAGCTCCTCCAAAACCAATATATTCTCTTCTTCCTCTGCAGAAAGAGCAATGACTTCAGAGAAAACATGATGCTACAACATTGCTCTTAAACTATGACACCTTCCATACCTCTAGGGAGGCTCTTTATCATTCTCTGGGGGAAAGGACCTTTTTGGTTATTTTGTGATTCATCAGTTTTCAGACTACAGAAAAGAAAAAGGCTGAAAAGCAGGAGCATTAGGCAGTGGAAAGCATTGCAAAAGGAGGGTTGGATGCAGATATACAGATGTGTGTGGGTGTTATTTGGACAAGGAGCACAACTAGCCCTCCTCTTGGGCTTTCGTTTTGAACATCTGCCTTTCAGACTGACACAGACCAAGAGTATGCATTCTCTTGCTTCCACTGCTTCCGTTCATGCACTAAACTCTTACAACACAATTGTGTGCTTATTGAGTCAATGTTCCTTTCAGCTATAGGTACAAGCAAAAGCTCATTCTGGTATTGCAGCACAGCCCTAAACCTTCCTTTCACATATACCAGAAACTACAGCACATATGCCTGCATATCAAATACATTCACAATTCTCAGAGCCTGCCTTTTGCAATTCTCTAACTGTTCTCTGCCCAACCACCCTTCCTGGGCAGCTTGCTGAATTATTTAAATGGCTATGGTCAATAGATCATCACTACAAAGTGCTCCTTAAGGCTTTTCCAAACATCTTACACATTTCCAATAAACAGCAGTAGCTCTGGTTTTTTATTGTTTGGTTTGGTTTTTATTTTTCATCAGTAGCTCAGTGTATTTTCTTAGTGTTTTCTAGTCTTGTTAGAGTGCTCCATAATTACTCGGTCAGTGATTCAGTGAATCGAACATGTCCTCACCATGAATCTCTAAAGCAGTGTGTTCTGTATACCATGACTTGCATGAAATCTTATTCCAAAAATTAGCTACGTAGCTAATCAATAAACTGATTTGAGTATGCTGAAAGTACAGGATGATATTGCCTTTTGATGCTACAAGAGATCTTCTTTAAGCTAACAAAACCAACCACAAATGTTCTTCAGCCTTCTCTGGTCATTATTCTGTGCACCACAACTAAATCTACAACTCTGACTAGTTCTTTGACTTCACAGCAACAGATGTAATTGTCTTCTACCCACCAAAACACTCAGATATAATCAGTCTTTTTCATTACAAATCTGCTTCACCATCAGAGTAGTTGCTCTAAAAAGTGTCCTAGATCTATGGATGATCTTTAATTTCTCCATGACTTATTTGGGTTTTTATTAATTCTGTCAAAAATTATAAAATCTGAAATGAAAGGAAAGAAAGGAACATGGTCATATGCTCATGCCTGAGACACATGAAATTTAAATTGCTGAATAATCTGTCAGTATAAAATCAGTGATCTGTGAGTTGTGCTTTTAAGCATTATCTTACTGATTGATGTGCAGCAGCTAATTCCAGGTATGAGTTTCTCTCTGGGAACACTTGCATGCTACTAAAGTGATGTTTACAGGTACTTCAAGATGTCTACCTCCAGAACCAGAGGGAAAATATATGTATGGTTGTGAGATACGGAGTGTGATAGCTGCCTGATGCTGCCATCTCATAATTGCTAACATAGAGCATGATGGGTGGCTAATTCTAGAGAAAAGAATAGGAATCCATCTAGTTTTTTGAGCTGTCAAGACTTTGAAGGGAGGGGAAAGAATATTGAAGTGAGAGGTCTTTCTTCTCTCTTATCCAAGAACTTCTGTAACTTTTTGGTATTCTGACAAGGAGCACAAAAGTGAAATGTAACTCACTTTTGACAATTATCCCCATAATTTATACTACTCTTTTGAGATAATATAATTTTTGGCCAGCAGGATTATATAAGACATCATCCTCTTCTACTCAGCAGCAGTGATGCCACACCTTAAATCAGTTTTAGACCCCTTACTACAAGAAAGACATTGAGGTACTGGACCATGGCCAGAGAAGGGCAAGGGAGCTGGTGAAGGGACCACAAGTCTTAAGAGGAGTCACTGAGGGAGCTGGGGGTGTTTAGCCTGGAGAAATGGATGCTCAGGGGAGACTGTATCTCTCTCTATAACTGCCTGAAAAGAGAGTCTAGCCAGGTGACAGTCAGTCTCTTCTCCCAAGTAACAACTGACAGGACAAGAGGAAATGGCTGCACCACAGGAGGTTTAGATGGGATATTAGGAAGTATTTCTTCAGGGAAAAGGTTAACAAGTATTGGAACACAGTATAGATTCTGCTTCCTTTTTTGGAATACTGCTGGCCTTTACATAGTAGCTGAATAGACATATACTACCCTGAAAGTCTCAAGTCTTCAACAAACATAGGCTGTACAATTTGCATTATGTGTGACAAAAAAGTAGACAATTTATTATAATCTTCCAAAATATTCATGCTAGGCTTAACCTAAATTCCTCTGTGTTCTTTCATCTCTTTTTACAACCTGTTCCCTTATGAACAGAAGTGACTTTTAATTAAAGCATCTCTACTCTACAGTTCTGGAATGCTGTAATTTTGCTGCTGTTGTTTTCTCCGAAAATGTTAGAGTGCTGAAAAATAACACATATCATACAGAATACAGACCAAATTAAAATAAATATTTAGGATGATATCTGTTGGGATGAATGGGATACCTAAGAAACATCTGAAAAACAAAACTAGAATTCTGAGAAGTTGTAAGTTTTGTTATCAGACTGGCAACAAGACTTCTGCTTAGACGTTCCACTTCTGTAAGCAGCCAGAAAGGTAGCCCAGTTATAGGGGGAAAATACTGATCAGAGGAAAATGTCTGATGGAAAATACTGACAGAAAATGCTTGCCAGTTTGGGAGCTCTGAGCCTGGGAACTAGGCCTCTGGACCAGAAACATCTTTAAAAAGGGCAGCTGGTCTCTCGGAAATACAGTTGGTGTACCTAGGAAGAGGACACATCCTAAGGCATTATTGATAATTGCAAAAACAAGGGACTGAAATGACAGCTTATATCTGAAAAGGTGGAAAACAGTCTGTGAAAAGTAGAAATTCCTCCAAAAGAACAGGAAATCTCATCACCAATTGTGTGTTACAAGTCAAAAAATCGAAATTGCAGCATCTATTGATTGCTCGAAGCAATGATATTCTGTGCCCTCTTATGTCTCTGGTACAAAACAAGCTTAATTTCTATTCAAAGCTGAGTCTCTCTTCCTGGCAACTTACCTTGCCACACATATTTTTTCATTTCTAAACAGGTTGAATTCTCCACATTACCTTTCTACGAGGTCTTGACTGCTCACTGGGGGTGCTGACTCCAGACTCTGTGCCACAGATCAACTTTGAAGTGAGACTCTATCTATAATCTCACTGGTCCTCCTTTTTGGACCCACTTTTGGGGTGGGTTTAGATTGTGATCTCACTTCTGGGATGGTTTGATTCACCTTTGGGATTAGTTTGCCCCCCACTTTGGGATGGTCTGTCACCTTCTGAAATCTGTCTAATTCCCTTGATACTGATATTATAAATCCATATAAATAATTTATTATATCTTGTATCACATTGTTGGTAAGTTGCTTCAGTAATGAAAAGTTCATAGTGACTTGTAATATTATATATCTAATTGGTAGTTGCTGTTATTGATTGTTGCTCTGTGATTGATTGCCACTGTTGTTGACTGCTGCCGTATTATTTATTGGTGCTATATTATCAATCTGATAACATTACTACTATTGCTGAGAGTAGTGTGTAATGTAGATAGTATATATTTTATATATTATATATAATATACATAATTATATAGTATATATTCACTTTCTTAATCATAGTTATACTATTATATTATATATGTTATGCTATACTTGTTATAGGTGATTTTTTAATTACTTTTATTTTTGTGTCAGCTTACTTGCTAGTGGTAAATTTTCTGGTATTTGTGGTAATCTGTAATAAAGTAGGGAAATTTAGAGGATAAAATCTTCACGTTCTTGTGCATTAGGGAATCCTACAAACCTATGGCCACAGTCTCTGTACACCCTCCCTTTAGACCTTCACACTAATGCATCTCCATTTCCTTTCCATTAAAACATTATGAACAAAGAGAAAAAAAAAAACACAAACATCTAGGCATGTTTCTTGCACAGAAAAATATCTAGGTGACATATTAGTTGTCTATTTAGGGCCTCTGGCTCTGTTTCACGTGCTTACATAGGGGATGACTCTGTGTATAGTCTATGAATTCCAGATGTTCCCAGACAAAACCAACTCCTCCACAAGGCAGTTACTTTTCCATGGAGTGTTGAAGGCAATGGAAAGAGATAGCTGGAAAGGAGAACAGCCACTGAAAAGGACAGAAAGATGGGGAGACAGAGGAAAGCTAAAAAGAAGTCTGAAAAGACTATTTGCTTTACCTTGCATTTCCCACCTGCATTTTTATCTTTTGCTATTTTTATCTTTTGCGAAGTACTGTTATATTCAAGTCGGAGTTCAGTACACTTCAGCCGATGCAAAATATCTCTCCGTCTTATCAGGATGTGAACTGCTGATTGCAGGTGGTAATCCATGTGTAATCCTGATAATGTGACTGACATTCTGGTTTCATCTTTGCACATCTGGTTGTGACTATCAGTAGTAGTGCAATCTGTCTTTAACCTACTGTATACAAGAAAAAAACGATAGGCAGAGCATGACAACTCTACTTCACAAAGATTTGGGGAATTTCAAAGACCTTTCACTAGGAAAGAAACAGAAAATTTCTGCACATTGAGGAATGTATCTGTAAAGCAAAGTATTGCAGAATAATTTTATTTTGTTGAAGTCTAAACACACTAGGCAGGAGTCATCTTACTGAAATTTAGGCATGTAAATTTGGCATCAAATACAATGTTACCAGCCAGACTCCCTTTACAGTCAACAACAGGAAACAGATACTTCTGGGGGAAACTCATCAAATCAATTTCAAAAGCCAGATGAAGGACCAGATTAATTATACAATCATTTTTTTGTAACTACCTTCTATACACAGAGCTTACAGTGACTAACTCATGCCTCACCTTTAACTTTGGATGCCTATGTCAGAACTGATGAACTATACTTTAAAAAAAGTCTACTTATCTCAATTTAGGAGAGTGATGTCTTAAGAAAAATGAGACCTATTCAACTTGTCAAAAGTAGTCTGGGAATACATATTAGGGCAGAAAACAACTGAGATGCCACATGCTTCTTCTAAAATACACAAGTATTTTACACTGTTGCAAGAAATCTAAAAAAACAATGTAGGCTGACCCAATAGAGGAGAAAGCCACTTTTTCATAGAGAAGTGTAGAGGGAAAGTAACTACAGGAAAAAAAAAATATTTGTGATTTGCAGTAAAAATCACATTCAAGTGTGTGGCTTTTACATAGGTGTTGAGAAGACAGCAGCAAGAATGATAGGCTTCACATTACCCTGTTATAAATCTTACTATTTCTTCAAATAGTTTCTTCTTGTAAAATGAGTAAGCCTGTGTATTTGTTTGCTTCACCCTGATATCTCCCTGAAGAGCTGAACTGTTAATCAAGAATAACTTCTACATGGGTGGTACAGAAAAGTCATGTCCGGGGTGAGAATGGATCAGACGCTGAAAGCCTGGGGCATGAAACAAATGGACTAAGTCATCCAGCTAGTGTGCTTGAAAACCCAAGACAAACAGGCAAACAGATATGCAATCAAAGGCAAGTTTCAAAGAAACATCTAGGTACAGTGAGAACTGGAACCAACAGCCTCACAAGTGAGCAACCAGGGAAGTGTTTTTCGTGCTCCATAACATTGATACAAGAGAAGATTCTTAAAAAAAACCCCAAAGCCCAAAACAAAAACTCAAATATTTTTCTCCACAAATGTCAATGAAGTTTACAGTGTTCCTCCAGAAGATATTCCCTGAAACTTCATCAAGAGCAGCAAAAAATTTCATTTTTGCAGATTATTTATATTTATTGGCAAATGGTGTTCTGCCAGAACATTCTCCTGAATTTCTAACTTCAAAATACTACTTTTGCAATACCTGAAACCCAATTCTGCTGTGTAGGGCTAAATTTGATTTATTGCCCTCAATGGCAATATTCCACAGAAAGTCCAAATATTATAAGGTTGGTTTCTTCCCCTAAAGAATGATTAAAACATTTTGGTTATTTTTGTATTCAAATGCTTTACAGTAGTTTAGCAGTATTCAAATGATTCCATCTTTTTGTGGGTGTACTTTCATTCTTACATTAGTGAAATTCAATCAATATTCTTGTTGTATTTTCAGTAAGTCATTATGGACAACTTTATTGAAGTAGAAAACTTTGAATTGATGTAGAATTAATAAAAATCCCCAAAGGGATTCGTTTTTCCTGCTAGCACTCAGTATGTTATATTCTTAGTAAGGGATAAGTACTGGGGTCTACCTTAAAGTCTAGATTTTGTTCTCATTTATGGGAGCATTAGACACAGATAAAATCACTAAGTTAACAGACCTGCCCCTCTTATACCCACCATAAAAGATGGTGAGATTCTAGCCACCACAGAAGCAGTACCACCAAGCACAGTTTAGACTGAATGTTGGCTTCAATTCTTATTTTTCCCAGTTTTCTGTGAAGACAAGGGTTATACAGCTATGCCCTGCTGATTGTAGTATCAGACTGACAGCAGTCTGCTAAGCTCTTTTCCTTAAACCACCACATTTGAACCTAATAGGTACCTTCTGCCAGACTGATGAAGGAATCAGTCTTTTAAGTTCTGGGAAGACAAATGACTTTGTACTTAGGCTTAGTAAGTGACTTTTTTACTCAGTGTATTGAATTCAGTATCATCTCAAATGAGGAAAATAAATGAGATTAACATAAACTCAAATGTTACAAGATACACAAAAATCTGCATTACACATTCTGCATTTTTAGAAAAGCTGCAGTTATGACCTGAATCTTTATAAAAAAGTCAAGTCTATCTAAGACACAAATCCACAGCAATCCAGACTTAAAGGATGTTTTCTATTACTCATACATACACTTTACTGCCTGAAATTTTCCAGCAATATTTTTTTCCTTTTTTTAGTTGAAGTTTTTTTGAAATTTTTGAAAAATTTATTAGGGTATTTTTTAAACCCTCCTGACCACGAGAAAAATTAAGTATAGAACTTTTTGTCTAGTCACTGTCTTGGGCAGCAGCTAGCTTCTCTATGACTGTCAATCCTTTGTTCACTGAAAGTAATTTATGTTTATAAAAATGCTACATCTTTTCCAGTGAAAATCAAAAGTTTTAAATCCAACAAATAAGTGATGGTAAAAGTAAAATAATACTAAAGCCTGTATTTAGACAAGATAAACATACTACATGGTTTGGTGAATTAGTTAGCAGCAACTGAAAATATTTCTGGCATTGCTAGAGGAGGTTGTGGTTTGTTGGGACAGTAGATCCTAACTGTCTGTATGTGCTTCACCATCTCTTAAAACTAAGATGTGATCTTAGAACTCTTGTAATTATGTTTTTTTTACTACACTGCTGGTAGTCAATCAGTCTCATGGGAATTAGAGTAAAATATTACATCTTAAAAGTAGGCTCTTCACAGAGTCAAGTCCTTTGTTTAATTCACTGAGCAATTTTATGGATTGTGGTACAGTAAACATATCTTCACATTAGGTAGAACATTATTTACATTTAGTATATAGGCCTTATGCTTCATTAGTGTTGACTTTGTAAATTAGTCTGAATACGTCTTAAACACTAATTTTTTTTCTTCTTTTCTTCTTGTTAGTAGAAAATGCATTATCCTTTCCTTCCTCAAGGGACATAATAGCAAGTCCAGACCATGCCTTTTTAAACTATGAGAAAAATTTTAAGGTAATATTTTGGGATTTCTTCACAAGTAATACAATCTCTCAAGTGATATTTTGATAAGCTCCATGATTTGGATAAGCAGATTGAAATGTAACTTCTACCTTCTTTTATAACCTGTTGCTGTAAAAATTTAGAAGTTCCTATAATTTGAAGGAAAACAAATATTTTCCATCAGAAAACAGCAGTTATTTTATCCTGCTATCTTTACTTCTCTTTGTGATCGTTCAGTCTGAACATGTCTATGTAAATGCAGATTAAATATTACCATTTCCATTAGTCATGTCAGAGGTAGTCAGTCATTTACCAAAAATCAAGAGATTTAGGAAACTGTACAAATGCAAATAGAGAGTTTGTTCCTGCCAGCTACTTGGTTCTCACAAAATCCAATCTCTGTCACATGAGTTATCTCACATAACTTGCATTTACTCAGTGTAACTATATATATTTTAAATGTCTATGTTAGAGATTCAGAAAAAAAGCAGTTTTCAGGCAAGTCATGTACATTGGTTTATTAGTTAATTTTAGAACACGAATAATCCCACTCCGTCCATTAAGAAGATGGCTGAGGATTGAATCGCATTGCCTTATCCATTCAAACCAATGTTATCCATTCATTCTTCATACATTTCCTCAAGACTGTCAGCAGTTGCAAAGTGATAAGATAATGGAATGCATTCATTTTAATTATCTAGAATATTTCCCTTGTGAAAATTGCAAGTGGCTTCAGTTCATTCTAGTAATGAAGAGATAAAGAAAGTAATCACTTTTTATCTAGATATACTTGAATACACAAATGCTGCATAGTTTACAAAAATACATATTTCTGCATAAATTCACTTGGAATTTTTTTTGGTTGTTGGTTTGTGGTTTTTGGTTTTTTAATAGGGATATTAATCTTAAAAATAAGAGCCTTTTAGTAACCTTGTGAATGTTGAGTTTTCTTCCCCTAAATTAAAATTGCTACTATAGACTTTCAAAACTGCTTTTAATAACATATTATCAATTGACAACTTGCTGTAATGTTTGCTTTTTCGTACATTGAAATGTTTCAGTTTAACATGGTGTTCTGTTTTTGAGTGTGGATCGCATATAGAATATATGGAGACTATGGTATTCTGATGGTCACTACCTCAGCCTCAGATACTGATTGGTATCTTTTCTATTGCACTACCCAGTGAACAATCATCTAAATTCACTATGTAGTTGCTATAACAATAAAGATTTAAAATTTGTAGTTCTTCTGAGTAACTAAAAATGTATATGAGTAGAAATAAAATACAATTCAGGTGACTTGCTTCTACCAATCCCAGTGATTAAAGTATCACTGCCTGTTAAAAATGAACAAAGACAGGAAATCTAGAAGTTTGTCTTGAAAGATAGATTTTGATAGCAGAAATAAATAGAATATATGGCTTTCAGTCATAATACTTAAGATCATTGGTGAAATGTTTCACTAAAAAATGTGGGATGTAACCTTGAATATGTGCAGACTTAGGCTTAGTAAAGGAGACTTTTAGTAGTGTGTGATTTTCACTAAATGCAGATTAGAGTGGTGACTTTCCATAAAATTCATTTCTATTATGTTTCTAGCCCAATGTTAGACCAGGAATAACTTAATTAAACCACCGTAATTTAGTCAGAAATTCAAGACTAAAGAGTGAGAGCAGGTAATCTGTTTTATCAAGTGAATGAAGGACTCTGTTCAGACCAATACTCTCAGTGAAGCTGAGTTCTCTGGCATCAGCAAACCTTTCCAAAGAGTCTGCTAAAACATAGTGAATCCATCGCCTGCTAGAAGTAGGAGAAGTAGAAATTTCATCACCCAGAGATGTTTGATTGTGACATAAGAAAGACATTTTTTACAGTGAGAACAATCATTCACTGCAACAACCTCACCAGGAACCAGTAGAGTCCTCAATCACTGTAGGTTTTCAAGATGCAATTAGAGAGTATCCTAGATAATCTCATATAGGCCCCCTTTCCCATGTAGATTTGAACCAAATGATCTCTCAAGGTCCCTTAAAACTGAGCTATTCTATGATTTTGTGGGTTTTGTTCATTAATTGACACATACTTTTTAATTTACATTTCTCCCAAAATAGAAATTTGTCCTCTGGGCCCCTAAATATTATTCTTGATGTCTATTCTAGCACATATCAGAATTTCTCCATTAAAACAGGAAGTATGAGGAATCTGAAGTAAAAAAAAGAAGGAATTAATTGTAAGTATCAGCTGGGAAGTGCTTCAAGCAATGATTATGCCTTCAGCATTAAGCTAATTGCTCAACATGACTGGCTCTTATTGGAAGATTACTGATCATTTTTAAAAACAAACATAAATTTATCAACTATTTTCCAGAAAGAACAGATAACACAGACTTGACTGGGCTGTCTTTTATATCAGCTTTTTACATACACAGGCAGTTGGAGCTGGATCTGGTTACAGCTACCTTATAAAATTTCAAAGTTGCTTTGTTGAATTGCAAGACTACCTTCAGACTACACACAATGAGATCAGGATCTAATCCTTCATTTTAATGGGTCAATACCTAATTTAGAGCAGCATAAAATTAGAATCAGACCTGGAATATGAAGAAACAGTGGAGTTACACTTTTGAGATATAGAAGACTATAATATAATCAGAATTGTGTCACCAGTACACAGGGTGGAATATGAAAAATGAATTATTTTCATGCTCACACCTCAAATGCAAATGTATAACAGATGTTTAGCTATGTCCTTTCATTCTATCAACCTCACATTCATCACTCTACAAAAATATGTAACACATCATAATTGAAATTATGGCAAACCTTTATTATACAAGTGACCATAAGAAGTTCTCCATTAGTATATCTGTTTGAATTTGAACCTGTAAAGTTGGGTCTTCCCTTAGACCAGGCCCAAAACACTTTTGACTGAGAAACCATTCACTGCAAAATATCCTAATAATTTATCCTTGTAAATCCCCAAAGGTCTCAAAATAAAAGGCTTCAGTGAATTACAAACCTATTTATATAGAGTATGACTGTTTACATTTACATATTCATATGTATCTAAAATTGCACATATTTATGTGCATATGTACATATTTAATTTCCACTTATTCATATTATACCTAAGTTGCTATTTTTTCATTATACTTCATCTGAATCCCCTGTTACCGCATTTGTCAGGTACAACATGATTTTCTTACACTAGGCCACACTGGATTAGGGACAGAAGATAATATACAGCATTGAAATATATGAATTATTTATTCTGTGGCTAGAGTGAAGCAGGCAGGACTTCACTTAAGTTTCTTTTCTTAATACTCCACCCAAGAGGATCACTAGTGTCACTGTGTCCTGGGTTACGCTCCCACATGAAGCTTAGAAAATAGTAGTACACCTCTTCTTCATAAGGGGGTAGCCTATGTATTAAATAAGGTATTAAAAACCTTCAAAAATTTATTTTTAAAGCCTTAAGGATGCTTTGTGGTGTTATTTTCATGTTCTTTAGGGTTTTGTAATGTCTTCGCATCCCAGCCTCCCAGTAAAATGAAAAATTGACATTATTCTGTGAAGTTCAGGTAGTCTATTGATTTGTGATTTCCTACAATGAAAACATGAAAGAGCCTTTGCTGACCAGAAGAGAGTGTCAAATACAGAAGAGGTCTCAACATATGGTGCTGCAAGGCAGCAATTTATTGAGGAAGGAAAATGTTTCTACTTTCAGAACTTAATGACACAAATAACAGAAACAAAGGTCACGAAAATCAGTTGTAACAGGGATGGACAATAAAACAAAACATCACAAAAGAAAGGACTTCTACTGAGTAACCTGAAAGTTGGAAGGCCATGGCATGGCTCTGGTATCTAACCAAAGTATCCTTTTTCTGCACACCTCTTTTTGACTTCAGCAGGTTTTGGGTACATCGTATTTTGAGCAGGGAGGAAATTCAGAGCAATTTCTTATTGCACAGTTGTCCTCACTGCAATTCAAAAGGGCTAACCACAGCATTAGATTACCAGATGCTCAGGGGTTCAGTAATCCATTAGCTGTTACATCTGCATTCCAGGGTTTTCATAAGAAATGCAAGAGCTGTGAATTTCTGAAGTGTCTCCTAAAGCGATGAGTGACTTGGAGATTATCGCTCCCTTTTCGCTTAGAACAGGATGGAGCTTCCCCAGTGACTTCATTGTGCTGGAAGGAATTCTGAATAACCTCTGACTGTTCATTCTCCCCAGACCTTGGGAGCAGTGCAAGTGTGGGTGATAGATGAAGAGAAAAGTCCTACTGAATTCTGAGAATTCTTAGCCTTCAGCTTCTCTTTCTTTTCTGGGAGTGTCAGTGATTTGCTGTCAAAATTTTCAGGAGACACTTAAGGGAAAACATTTTTCCTTAGGCTGAGATAAGCCCCAGAGGTGCATAAACAAGCCCAAAAGTCTGGAGGAAGAAGGGAACCTGCATGCAGACCTTTTTAAGTAAAAGAGCATCTTCATTTGTTAAATAAAGTTGTTCTAAGGAATTGCTTATACTCTGAAAACATTCTAAGGACATGAAGAGTGAGAAAGTGAGTTAAAATTAAATTTGGAGTTAATGAATAGGATTGCATAGAATCATTGAATATGCTGAATTGGAAGGGACCCATCAGGATCATCGAGTCCAACTCCTAGCCCTGAACAGGACCTTCCAAGAATCACACCATGTACCTGAATGCATTGTCCAAACACTTCTTAAACTCGGACAGGCTTGGTGCTGTGATCACTTCCCTGGAGAGTCTGTTCCAGTGCCCAACCGCCCTTTGGGTGAAACACCTTTTCTGTTATCTAACCTAAACCTCCCCTGACTCAGCTTCATGCTGTTTCCTCAAGTCTTGTCTCTAGTCATGTTTCAAGGCAATGCATGCAAAAATAATGAGTTTGATTGCTTAAGGTATATGAGTGAAGCTCTGCAAACACACACATCGTTAGTGAAGAAAGTTTACTGCAAGGGACACTCAAATAACAAACAGGACATTTAAGTCACATCTGCCCTTTTTGCCTTTGATCTTTTCCCTTTGATCTTAAAGAAGGAGCTTATAGAAAGTCTTCAAGATTCTCTCAGACCTTAATTTGAGATTCTGAAAGCTAAGATAGTTCATCTCTCTTTCTAAAATTGTAATCTTTACTCTCTTAAACACTAAGGAAAGGCAAAAATAGGCTACATGTCTCCAGTTGAACTTTCTTCTGACAAAACACAAAATAGAAATTAATGCTGAGAATTTGCTTAAAGTCAAGTGAGTTACATTTGAACCTGACTGTCTTTAACAGGTTTTATTTTGTCTGGAAGAACACAGCAGGCCAGGTTATGCTTGGCATTCTGAGGAAGGACCCAGCTTCAGCTGTTCGCCATACCTCTATACTGAATGAGAACAGAATCACAAGGTGAGGGCACCTGAGTTCAAAAGTATTCTGCGTTGCAGCCCATGGTGCAATCCATTTTGAAAATGAAATCAAGAAAATAAGGCCAACAATAATGAAAACATTCACATATTGTCCTTCAGCCTGTACCAGTGAATATCTCACTTTACGAAAGTTGCTTTTCATCTGGGATATTCTGGATCATTGGCATTCTGATGCATGTAGCAGTTAAGCTCCCCATTAAATTAGCCCTTGATCTTGAGAGTTCTGGCACTGCTTTCTACTGTAATGTTTCCTTGTCCCTTGTCAGGCAAGGAGGCAGAAGAAAATGATGGGAGAGAGAGGATTAATTTTTAATTTGAGTGTTGTTAAAGTGAAATTTCTGGGTATCATAGCAGATAATTAAGTGTTAAAACAGATACACTGAAGAAAAGTGCCAAGGTTGTTTGATGATCATGTAGCAAGTGTGAGAAGAATGGCCCTCCCAAAGCAACATCATTTAATTTAGAGTTCAGTAATTCAATGTTATATTTTACATGTATAAATATTTTGTGTTGGGTTGTATCATTCTTAGCTTTATTGACTACAAATCCTTTTAGCATTTATCATATTACTGAATTCAAAAGGCTGACAATACTTCTGTGGTTCCTGCCCGTAACACATTTTCCAGAGGAGCAGAAAGGACCACTTTTTTGTTTAGACTCAGCTACCAAATATGTTTGTTCCTGTTAGCTTATTTTATTTCTAAAAAATCTAAGACCTATCTAAAGTCTATTTTTCCAAGAGCTGCATCTGTGTTGGATTTAGGAAGCATACGAAAATGTAATGTCAAAAGATGCATACTTTCAGTGCTGAAGGATGAAGAAATATGACTTATAGCAACATATATTAGTTTAGAGTAATTTATGTCTGTTTGTTACTATATAAAATATTCAGGCTATTAATGGACATACTAGATGAAATAGGGACACAGGCTGAAGAGATAAGATGTGACCATGGAAGGAAATTTCATTAGAACCCTAAAATAATAAATGAAAACAGATGTTGCAAAGTTTACATATAAAAGATTAAAAATTTTCAGAAACAGGTGTATGGGATATTTGCAGCACCATAGTTAGATATCAATCTACAATCTACATAGCCTAATTTTCAAAGCTGTTGACTATTTAGTTGCTCTGAGGGATTATGTCTATATATGTAGAAAATTTGCGAATTATACCACTCCCACGCTTCAGGGAGTCCTGTTAGAAGCATTTTTAAAAGCCTTATTAATACAAGTGGGACAAACATGTCGTCTGCTTAATAATACAAAACTGTATTAATTGGTCTCCAAACACAGCTTGTTAATAGATTAATGCTCAAGCGAGATACCAGAAACTGTGAAGTGGACAGCAGTTTCCAAGGCATAAATACCAAGAGGTCACATTTCCTGCTATCATAACTTCAGATCAGTCTTCTGTTACTTCAGAGACTGTGAGATCAGATGAGGTGAAGGCACTAGGGAAGTAGATGCTTTTTCTCTACCAAAACACCAGTGTGGGACAGAAAAGGCAAAAGCAAAAAGTAGTCTGAGATGACATTGGGCAGAATGGAGCAGATGTGACCTTCCGCGTACATAATTTTATATACCTCCGAGAAACAGAGCATTTGCACTGTAGGTGCCCTCAACTAACAGATATAGGAAGCTAACTGGATGTAAAATAAAGGGAGAGAACTTAGAGGAGGAAGAAAGGTCATCCCAGAGAGAAGTTTTGTTTTGTGGTTCCACAAGTGGATAGTGTTTATATTGTAAATCCTCACAGTCTACTTTTATTTTATGGTCTT